GGCTTGGTTAAGGCATCAGCAGGCATGACCTTAGACGGCATGTGTTTTACCACAATGTAACCAGCATCGACATAGTCAATAACCTTGTATATCACCAGATCTAGACACTTGATCTTGTGATGTCCGCTGGAATGTGTCATGACCTGAACAGCTGCAGCATTGTCCGTCCAGAGAAGAGCTGGAAGCTCGACAGGAACTTGTAGTTCGGCTAACAAGTTTTGTAGCCATCGAATTCGATCTGCACAGCAACTGGCTGTTGTGAGCTCAGCACTGCATGTATCTTTAACTGCACTGGGCTGTAGCTTACTTTGGTATGCTACAACACATCCACCAAGTGTTACAACTTGGCCAGTAACAGATCGACGAGTGTCCATATCATTGCCGAGGTCAGCATCAGCATATCCAACGATAGAAAGATTGCCCTTTGCAGAAACGTTTGGTAGCACCAATCCATAGGAACTAGTCCCCTTCAAATACGTAAGAGCGCGTTGAGCCAGTCCAAAATGTTCCTCTGTATAACAGTCAAGAAACTTGCTCAAGACACGAACCGCGTTCGCGATATCGGGTCGCGTACAACGCACCAAATACTGTAGGGAACCAACAATTTGACGAAATGGTAGATCACTTCTGTTTACGTCAGGTCCGTAGGGTTTGCTGGGTCTCATAGGTTTTACTTTTGGGTCCATTGCACACGAGCACTGTGATCGCCATATTTTTCCACAATGTGTTGAATGTACGATTCTTGTGACAACGTGACTCGTGTCGGCTCCACTTTTACATTCATGGCCAGCAAGAGGTTGATCTCCCCTAAGTCCTTTAGCTTAAATTCACTCTTCAACTGTGAAATTAGCCACGTAATACCCTCATTTTTAGCCGCAATAACGACATCATCAACGTAGACTGTAAGGAAGATAGGAGAGTCGTCGACCCACTTGACGTAAACGCCATCTGCAATTATGCTGGATTTGAAACCAAGCTTCACTAGATATCTCTCAAAGTTGCGTTCCAGATCGGAGGAGCTTGCTTTAAGCCATATAAGCTCTTCTTCAACAAGCACACACGTCCAGTGCCATCGTCGAACAACTCTGGTTGCTCCATATACACGTCGACATCCATCTCACCGTTTAGAAATGCCGTAGTGAAGTCAATTTGGCGAGGTTCCAGGTCATAGTAGAATGCGAGCACAATGACAACACGAATTGCCTCCATGCTCACAACTGGAGAGTATACTTCCCAATAGTCTGAACCAAACGCTTGCTCGAAACCCCGGAGAATAAGTCGAGCTTTGTAGCGTACAATTTCTCCGTTTTGATTCCTTTTAATGACAAACACCCAGCGACTGGTCATGATCTTAGTGTCCGACGGACGGCTCACTAAAATCCACGTATGATTCGCTTGTATGTCAGAGAATTCCGTTTGCAAAGCTTGCCACCACTTATCACGATCATAACCTGCAAGCGCTGCACGAACTGACTTGGGCAGCTTGTCCGTAGTTGAGATGAAGTAATTGGCAAGCGAAAAGCCATGTAGCCTTACGTTTGGACGACGTGTAGGTGTTGATCTGCGAAGCGTAACAATTGGGTCTTTGGTGTGTGTTTTCCGACGTCGCTTAACTTCAACCAAACCCGGTTGTCGCTTCTTTTCACCGTGTTTTGTACATCTCGTATCATTCTCATGTCCATCGACACGAATTATAGAAGTGGAGTCACAATTTGGAGTATCATAAGTCTGGGCCAGCTCCCCTGTTCGTCTGTGTTTTGTTGGACCTGAGTTGATATTATCAAACTCAAGCTCCCCCGCTCTTCTAACTTTCGTCTCTTGCACTACATCGCCTCCAACCTTAGCATCCATAGGACCGACTTCATCGGAGCTATGCAATGCCAGTGCAGTTTCATCGCTGCTACAGGAGCTCGAGTAGTCATGAAGAGGAAGTCTTACATACGGGATTGAAACAGGTAGCACCACACCAGGCTTCTTCGCGCAGAACTTGTCAGGCAACTGATCCACATAGTCAGCCGCCACTGTTCACTGTTCGCGAAACTTTACGTCACGAGACTCCACAATGTGTCCGGTAACAAGATCGAGGACACGATATCCAGTCGTGGATTTAGGATATCCTAGAAACAATGCATCTTTCGCTGTCGTATCTTGTTTACCTTTCCGTCTTTGCTTAGGGACGAAGTACGTTGCAGCACAGCCCCACACACGTAGACCAGATACATCAGGTATACGACCTTCAAATAACTCGTAAGGTGTACTGTCTTTAATGGCTTTGGATGGTGAGAAGTTGCGTATCGCTACCACATACTTGAATGCCTCTCCCCATAGTTTTGTTGGAAGTCCACTGGTTACGAGGAGAGCGCGAACAGATCGCAGTACTACACCATTCATCTTTTCGACGAGACTGTTTTCTTCGGGTGTATACGTATTTGTATACAGCGGACGAACTCCATTGTCTCGGAGGACTTGTTGTAGCTTTTGATTTACAAACTCAGTTCCTTGATCAGACCCCAGGAATCTGACAGGTCGCTCACATTGCTTCAGCTGTAAGATCAACGTCTTCAAGTTGTCTGTACATTGAGACTTTTGACGGAGTAAGAAGCCCCATAGGTATCGTGAGTATTCATTCTCCACGAGCTGAAACATCACGTTTCCAGCAACCGAACCTCACCATAGTGACAGACATCGGTCATCAGTTTTTCACAACACCTTATTGATCGACATGGAGACACATTCTTGTATGACATTCTTCGCGATTTTGCTAATGTACAGCTTAGGCAATCCATCGCATCTCTAGTGCGCTCACTAGGAGACATCGTCATGCCTGTAACCATCTGATCACGATGGAGCTGCTGCAATGTTGCAAAATTCACATGACCAAAGCGAAGATGCCACCGAAATATCGATTCACCTCCAGCCACAAATGATGCAACTACTTGAGGTGAATTACACAAACCACGAGTGCGATAGTAACCTCGACTCTTGCCAAGCACTATTGCTGTCGGCCCCTTCCATAATAGCCGTCTTGGAGGTCCGTCCTGAGGATACTGTGACTCACATTGCCAGCCTTGCTCTTCAAGTGCATTAACACTTAGCAGATTAACGTGACATCCAACAACATTACGAACTCCAGTAAGAACGCAATCAAGCGCTTCTCCAGTTTCGCCACGTCTATCTTGTGTGGATAGGAAAGATACAGGCAATTGAGACACCAAATGTTCCGTTGTTACTTCTCCTGTCCACGGTTCATGTGGCGTGTTCGTCTCCACGTAGTGCGGAAACTGTGTCATAAGTGACCGGTCAGCGCAGGTATGCGTAATAGCTGCTGTGTCTAATATCCACTCCAATGAATTAGAGGTATCAAACGTCGACAATAATGTAGACCCAGTACTTGACACAGCACAAGTATTTTCAACACGACCGATCATTCCCAATGGTAACGGCTGAGGAGGTCCACCTTTGTTTCCCCCATATACGCTAGAGCTATCCCCAGAATTGTTGCCACACTTTGCTTTTTCAGCATCTACGTTGCCGTGCTTCAGATCAAATTTGAGCTTACGACACTCAAATTTGTGATGGCCTTCTCTATCACAATAGAAGCACTTGCCCTTCTTTCGTTTACCAGGACCAGACTTTTGATTGGCTTTGCTTCCTCCTTCACTGGATTTAGCTCCACGAGATTGTGCTCCTTTGGGTTTAATCCAGCTAATATGTTTACTAGATTTGTCACCAGTTTTCTGCTTCTTAGCCACGTGCATGATCTTCGAGTTTCCCTCTTCCTCATCGCGGACGATCTCATCCATCTCGGTCTCGGACTTCAGTGTGTTCAAGACTTGCTGCAGAGTGGGTCGGGACCCGGGAGCCATGATGCGAGAAAACTGACGCACGACATCTCTGTTTGTCTGCACTACTCCCATGAGAATCACGTCCACAGTGAGATCATCATCGATAACTCGACCCAGATTAGCCAACACACGACGTGTATCGTGAATTTCCTGAAGCCAAGAATCCATCGTCTGCTCACGAGTGTAAGCTGCGTGGAAGAATTGCTTCAATACCCACACGTAATTAGAAAACTCACGCTTAGTATGGTGTGCTTCCAGATCTTCCGACATTTCCTTGCCAGTTGGAAGATCACACATACGCTTAGCGTCTTCAACTTTAGCACCTCGAAGCAACGTATCTTTCACAAAGAAGTCCAACATATCGTAGCGCTGTTGAAGTTCCCCATTTACAATCGGACGCTGTACGGATCCATCGATCAGACCCCAAGCATTAAATCGATGTAAATAGGCCATAACTTGAGCGCGATAGAGGTTAAAGCTTCCTGCCATTTTTGGTGGGTTTTTGTTCACATCCAACGCTAGGTTAGTCGGTGGCAATGGTATCCTTCGTTGTTGTTCTTCATTAGCGTGCGACCTCGCTGGAGCGTTCACCACCGGAGTTCCAGTCAAAATGAGTGTTGAAGTTGGTGAGCTCAACGCAGAAACAGACTGCGGCTGTGGAGACTGAAGGACAGGAATCCCGCCAGCACCACCAGCCAACGGACCTACCAGTCCAGCCGCTACTGACACTGCAGGCGCTGATACAGCCATCATCCGTCGCGACGCGGTCGGAGACGGAGTACTAAGTAAGTCTGACATCAAAGGCAGCGTCCACGACATCGTCAGCGTTCACGTAAGTTCTGGAAGTTTACTCTAATTTTGGGCTCATAACCCTAACAGCGAACGTCTCCTACTCGTTCACTTGCAGAGGTCGTGTACGATGTCTGGACAGTGAGTACGACGGAAGAAGTAAGCGTTAACACACTACTCGCCCCACACCTGGTAGATTGGGAATTGCTGGAGCTCCACCCTTGGTGGACTCCGTTAGAAATAAAAATATTAACCAAGTATCTAACGGGCGAGTGGCTACCAATACTAAAAAGACTTCTGGTTTCTGAGACTGCGTCGTCCAGGTCTCATACAGTGTCGGCCGCCCATTGGCTGCTATGCTTGCGAATGACGGCGCTGACGTGTACAGCGCCGACATTGACTCGCTGTACCTATTCCGTCGCGGTAAGCTCATCCCGAGCGAAGAGACGCAGGAGACGGCGTGTAAGAAGTCTCGTGTCATCATTACTGGCGTCCCCGTTAAGAGCTACAAGCTGCCGCTTGAGTGAGTCAGCGAAAACACGGTCATCATCAACGTCGCGTCCTTCAAGAACGTGGCCGAGGCCGAGCTGCTTTAGATAAAGGGCGTGCAGTACGTGCCACTGGTGGGTAAGGTCACGGTGGCCATGCTCGAACGCAACCTGCTGCGTCTGTACGAGAGCTTCCACTGGAAGCCTAAGAAGGTCTGGCAGTAAGAGTGTGGATGAGGATAGAGAGAACACCTCGCTCACCGCTAAAATGCATTAATCTTCCTCGTTACAGGGAAATTCACAGCGTGTGCAGTACCGTAATACGCTAACTCCATCCAATTACAGTTAATAGCGTCTATGCTGACTCCATTATCTCTACATGCACTAAACTGGACGCTGTGACTTTATTCTGGTCATTCACGGCTTTCGCTTCGAGTGTGTGCGGCCCCACGCCGAGTCCACGCAGCAGCATATTGCCATCGTCCACGTGGGTTTTCTTCAAGTAAATGTCGTCATCAATCAGCAACTCGAGAGTTTGTACATTCACGGCGGTGTACTCGAGGACAATAGACTGATGTCGTTCGAAGATAGCACCATCCAAGGGAGACGATAGGTGTACCTCGTCCTCAATAGAGGGAGTGGGTGGCTTTCGAACGTAGACATCTTTCTTGTTTGTCGTGAGCTCTTCGATTAGCCCAGGAATGGGGATAGTAACTTCGAGATGAAGCTTAAATATCCCGTCGTGTGTGAATTTTCGGAGAGGAATCGGAAATTTTACAGTGCGATTGAGCACTTCAGTATTGTCGTCTTCGCTTTCAAGTGCAAGAAACCCTATTTCCGACGTGAAAACCTCGTCGTCCAAAAATAATTCGTATCGAAAATCCTCGGCGCCATACAGATGCAGAGCTTCAGTGGGAAAGTTGGCAAGTTCCCACTCAAATGAAACACCTTGTGGCGTGATTGATGAGTTTCCCACGGGGTTCACAATGTGCACGGAAACATTCGAGATATCGTACGCCGAGAACAGTTCCTCGTAGTTCGGTAAGGGGAACACTACAGGGTGAAAGAAGCTGTACACACACGCAAGGAGGTACGCAACTAACACCGTGGCAACTCCCCCCACAAACAGAAGCTCTTGCTGGGTGGGATCACCATTATTATTTCGCTTCTTCTTGGGATCCGTCAAACGCCCCTTGCTCTTTGCCACCGCTTGATTTCCCGTCGACTCTGGACGTCCCTTAGCCACAGCCTTCGAGCTCTTATTTTCCCTCTCCGGCGGTCTTTTATCTTCTTGTTGCACGCCATCGTCTGAATCTACATTCGGATCAGCACAGTCGTCCTCGTGCCCCGCCTCGGCGATGTGAGCGCTCTTGCCTTTCATGCTGTTTTTCGATTCCGGATCTTTCATGCAAATCTCCTGCTCGATTGCCTCCGGATGCGGAGTGTCTGCCGAATTGCCATCATCCTCCGACTCGCACGAGGTCACCTCCGATGTGATAGTGTCTAAGAGCTCTTGGGCCTGTAAGCTCATGAACTCACTACCATTATCACTTGTTAGGATATCCACTTTGCGGAGACGAACAAACGCTTTAAGCGCTTCTAACACAATTGCTGCCGTTTTGTTTCGTAAGAGCTTTGCGTACTCCAGCCTTGAGTTGATGTTGATAGCAGTCAAAATTGGCCGTTTCTCCCAAAACGCAAGATCAATTTGCCACGAGTTGGGGTTATGCGAAGCTATTTTGAAACCATTGAATCTCTTCTTTTGCTCCTGAAATCGTTGAATATCGGGCTGACTCCCATACCAATCCTTTACTATTTTGAAAGTTATCTTAGGATTCAACTCCTTTGCTTTCTGATACAGAGCTTGAGCTCCTATAAAACCGGTTTTTGGGTCATAGTAGAGTTTCTTTAATAGCGCGTCCATGATCTATATTTACATTAAAAAAATCCCAGTGGCTAGCTGCTTAAATTACAAGTGGTTCAGTCGTGATACCATCATCAAGTACTTGACGTTTGTCATAGTAGTAGTTAAGCGCTGTTTTGGTTTGAGTATAGGTGATGATAGACTTGGCTTCTTTCGATAGTCTGAACCCCTTGTTTGTACCTTGTAGCGTGATGCGATCCCGTACGACAGTCTCAAACCCATCAGGATTAAGAACACCATTGTTTCGACCACTTCCCTGTTGAATACCCTTCGCTGAAACCTTTACTTTGTATGTCTCATCGGGTAGGTAGCAAATATAGTTCTTACTCGATAGTGAGACCATAGCATCACCTGACCATTCATTTTTGAACAAACCAGGCGTACGGCGATCAAACTTAGCTACCTCAGTGTTGTAGTCACGTGGGAACCAATCGTATTTATGCTCCTTGAAGTGGGTTCGTAGCTCAGGCCTAATACAGTCTCGAAATGGATTATCACAGCTGAAAGCGATATAAGCCGAATCAGTGTCCATCTCCTGATAATGGAAGTCAGAGCGATCGAAGTAGAAATTTATGCAGTCATAGTAAAACTGAAGCATGCGTAGCTTAGCAAGCTGATAGATAGCAATCGACAAATGGATTGGGTTCTTATTATTGAGTCGGCGCTTCTTCATCGTGATCTCACACGCATCATTAAGCTCCTCGAGACCATGGAACGTAAAGTGTTCGATCTTGTTTTTAATAGCTTTGTCACTCGACTCATACTTAACCTCTTTGTGCTTGCTCATATCCATGCCAGATCGACCAAAAGCACTGTTGCCTACCAGTTTCATCATCTCGGCAATCATAGCCTTAGACTTATCAACATCACCCTCTCGCCGGGCGTTTGATACAGCCTCCATAAATGGAGCAAAAGCTTTATGGGAGCTCGCTTTTATGAAGCTGTAAATCTTGGTGATCTCCAAACCATGAGAGAGATACTACTTCAGCAAAGATGCGTATCTGAGAATCTTTTCACCAAAGTAGCTACCAAATAACGTGCGAGCTGGTTTTGCTCGGCTTTGCTTGCGCGCCTCATTGTGTTCGAACATTTGCTTACCAATGACGCTCTCATTCGTACAGTCGATCAGTACATTCTTGAAAATTGGAGTCATCTCACCAAAGTACTGTTTAAGGTATTCTGGTGTTCGGATATCACATTCAAGAAAGCCGAATACTTTGTATGCTTTGATGTCATCGATGATACCATCATACGCTTCAACCGTAGTCAATCGACCGCATGGCATCTCATTACCAAGGGCCCATAGGTATAGAGCGTTAGCGTCGTATCCGATAATTTTCTTGCAGATCTTACCTCTACGAATCTTCGTCTCGTTTCGCTTAGCATACCTGTTGAATATAATTGATGGTCAACCGGCATTGTTAGCTTTCATTTTCCCGTAAATCTCAGATTCCTCCTTGTCAATCGAAAACACCAATCTGTCTGCGTTAAAATCAAGCAGTTTCTTGTATCTGAACCCCCTAAGAGACATATCTTTTCGAGCGGTGTTGCATGAAATGCAGCTGATCAAGATATTCCCATCAGTGTGCCCAAGATTGTTATTGATTCTATCAGCGGAAGCGGTATCAGCAGTCAGCTGACAATAGCATAGACCACACAGATACTTTTGCTTTTGCAGCAATGTATTCACGTGCTCGAGCGTCATACCAAATTTTCGTTTTGCCTTAGCAACCTGACTCTTGTAGCCAGCCATGCGCTTCGCTGGAAATCGGAATGCGTTAGCAGGTTTCTTATCCGGATATTGGAGATTATTGAAGCAGGTCTGATACATAACCTTCTCTGAAAGACCAGGTAGGGACACTCCATCCGCAAACATATCCAGATCGAAGCGCTTAAATAGCTCTCGCTGAGCCTTGATAGCTTTGGTGAAAGGGACTACGTCGAGATTATTGTACCAGATCAGTAGGTCTTTGATCGATTTCATCTCGTGGTAATCCCACACGAACTTCACTCGTTCGTAGTCATCGCTCGTGATGCTCGTTCCACGGAGCTTACTATCAAAAGCTGACTTAGGTGGGATAGTAGTCTGCTTTAGAACATTGAACGCGGTGATGTACTCGTAAGGGAAAAGACCCTTACCAAGACCACAGACACATCTAATTTTGCCATCGCATTTGCAGCCACCGAGATATGTTGTAAGATACTTGTCGTAGCTGGTACCAGCTGGTACATAGTTAGTGATATCAAGCATTTTCATGTCCGATGTAGCAATGCACATGTAGCTGGGGTTCTTGATGACAGATTTGACGCTGTCGGTACCAATTACGGCAAACAAATCTTTTTTTAATCAAGTTAATATCATATCGACCAGAATTGAAGCCGAATACTGGTACCTGGTCAAGCTGCTGTTTCAGTTTCCCATAATCAGACCTTTGCTTACCAAAACAGACTGCGGTGATAGTCAAAGAAGCTGGCATACTTTCCCTCTTCAATCCAACTCTCCACATCAGACATCCTGTACTTTTTATCAGAATTAGCGCCTGGGACTTCCATACCTGTCAGACCATGTGCATTGATGATTTTTTGTAGAAGCGACATAAATTTATTGACATTGTACTGCTGAATCTTAACCGATACATCACCAATGTAATTGAACATTTCCGTAAGTAGCATCTTTGGATCGTCATTTACAAAGCAACGCACCCCCTCGGTTAAACTATTAGCTACTGATACCGGCACAGGAATTTGTTCGTTCGTGAAGACAGTATTCTCCCCGTGTTGAGTCGCGGTAATCTTAAGAATGGCCTCAAAGTCATAAACGATGAAGTGATCGATGTACTGGTCAGTATTCCTGGCTGAATACTTCGTAAGCAGTGATCGTATTACGTTCTGAGCTGGTTTGTAGATAGTTGGCTCAGCTGGGAAGCGTTCGATATTCACGAGCTCACATTGATTCTTTTTGTGATTTTTTACTTTTTTAGCGCTGACGAAAACCATTTCACACTTAGGGCATTGATACTTAGCCTGAAGCATGTCAATGTTCTTGATGTAAAGAGCATGATTCTCGAACGATAAAATATCCATAGCTTCATACCCCTTGTCCGATCTACGAATGCATTCTACATTTCCGGAAGCTACATCCATGCTATATACGTTAATACCGAGTTGGAAGCAGTCCTCAATCTCAT